GAGGAAATGGAAGGGGGGCAGGCTAGTAGAGATTGTTTGAGAAACGTATGCCAAACCCCGAGCTGGCTGGCAGGCTAGCCGTGGTCATTGGTGGAAATCCTCCCCCAGCCCTTCCCGGCTCCTTTAATGAGAGCAAACTGATCATCCTCCCCTCTCTCTTCATAATTGGTGGCTTACATAACCGGGTAAACTGTCGAGTGGGGGATGATTAGAGCGGCATCCCCCTTTAGAGTGTCCTCTCTACACACCTGTCTCCCCCTCAACCCCCCTCACCATACCTTTAAATCCCAATATTCCACCAATTATCCCCCAACTGGCATCTGGATCACGATTCCCGTGAAAGGGACCGGATTTTAAAGGGGCTTGGCTTAGGTTTAGTTAGGCTTGGCTTGGCTTAGGCTTGGCTTAGGCTTGGCTTAGGCTTGGCTTAGGCTTGGCTTAGGCTTGGCTTAGGCTTGGCTTAGGCTTGGCTTAGGCTTGGCTTAGGCTTGGCTTAGGCTTGGCTTAGGCTTGGCTTAGGCTTGGCTTAGGCTTGGCTTAGGCTTGGCTTAGGCTTGGCTTAGGCTTGGCTTAGGCTTGGCTTAGGCTTGGCCTAGGGCCTGGCTTAGGCAGCTTGGCCTAGGCTTGGCTTAGGCGTAGGCTTAGGCCCAGGCTTAGGCCTAGGCTGAGGCTTGGCTTAGGCTTACTTAGGCCTGGCTTAGGCACTTGGGCTTAGCCCCGGGCTTTAGGCCTGGCTTAGGGCCTGGCTTAGGCTTGCTTAGGCTTGGCCCAGGCCTAGGCTTAGGCTTGGCCTTAGGCCTGGCCTAGGCCCAGGCTTAGGCTTGGCTTAGGCCTGACTTAGGCCTGGCTTAGGCTTGGCTTAGGGCTTGGCTTTAGGCTTGGCTTAGGCTTGGCTTAGGCTAGGCTTAGGCTTGGCTTAGGCTTGGCATTAGGCTTGGCTTAGGCTTGGCTTAGGCCTGGCTTAGGCTTGGCTTAGGCTTGGCCTAGGCTTGGCTTAGGCTTGGCTTAGGCTTGCGGGCTTGGCTTAGGCTTGGCTTAGGCTTGGCTTAGGCTTGGCTTAGGCTTGGCTTAGGCTTGGCTTAGGCTTGGCTTAGGCTTGGCTTAGGCTTGGCTTAGGCTTGGCTTAGGCTTGGCTTAGACTTGGCTTAGGCTTGGCTTAGGCTGGGCTTAGGCTGGGCTTAGGCTTGGCTTAGGCTTGGCTTAGGCTTGGCTTAGCTAGGCTTAGGCTTAATTTTCTCATAAAATTAAAACATTTGCTTCCTAAAATACGTTTTTTTTGCTTCGAGTTTTTTATATAGAGGTTTAGCGATTTTTAATGGGATGGTTTTCCATTTTTATGTACAAAAAATGGGCATCTAACGGATCAAAAACCGGGGCCATATGTTGGGCCCCAGGTTGGCCCTTTGGCGGGCCCCCCTTCCCCACGGCCTCACACCCAATTATCGACCACGCGCAATCACCGCCGCTCCTTCCTGCCCCCCTTAAAAGAGACAAATACCGTATTGAATTGGATCCCCCTCGGCCCAAATTGGGAATTTAGCACGTGCAAATGGCCATCTGGCCTCCAGTTGACACTAATCGACGCAATAAACGCAAAAATCAAAGCGTCAAGAGGCGTGCCGCGGCCGGGAGTCGAACCCGTGGCCCGACAGATCGATTTATAGGGGGTTTTTAGACACTGTGGCTTTTCGAAATGTCGAACTACCTTCCAGTTACCGCAAAGGGACACCCGAAAAGCAAAAAGCACAACGTAATACTAAAAAAGCAAACACACAGCAACGGGCGTCTCGACCGGGAATAGAACCTGCGGCCCGACAGTTCGATTGATGGGCTTTTAAGGGTTGTAAGTTTTCCAAAAGTCGAACTGCCATCCAATTAAGGCAAATCCATACATAGAAAGCGAAAACCAAAAAAAATACGAAAATTGGCAACTCTTCAGCGTCGACTTTGCCCAGCTTGTTTTCCGGCTCTAACGTTTTAGGCGTCGGTTTTGAAAGTTTCAGCTATTTTCCAAAAAATTGCGCAGCTCGAGGGCCACAAGATTATCTTTAACAGCACAAATTAAACAACCGGCAAGTTTAGAGAATTTCCGAAAAACTGTATTCCCTGAAAGAGCCACAATCTTGGAATGTGACCGCCGCTGAAATGGAATGCGACACCTGCTACCGTCATTTTGTGGTGCTCGTTAGTTCTTCTGTCTGTCAGTCTGCCCATTCGTGTGTCTCTCCGTCGGTTTTTCCGTCTGTCCACCACGCTACGCACCCCATTTCGCCCATCTACTACTACCGCCACCGCCAATGGACCGTGAAATCAGGCGGGCGGCTGCGCGTTTTCCTCAGATTTCTCCGCCCCCATGAAAGCGCAGGGTGCCCAGGTGTACTCAAGTTTAAACCCGACTTCCCAAATGGTCGCTGCTAGCCTGCCCGGGCTCGAACAGCTTCTGCTAGGAGCTAAATCCTCAAAAATCCCGGGGCAAACGCCCAAAAAGATATAGAGTAGGTAAATTGGCATCCAGTTTATCGATCTGAAAAGCTAAAAACAACAAGTTCCCGGTAAAAAACACGATATTTTGCGCAAAACCCGCGAAACTACGGTGGGTTTCTCGGCAAAAAGGTTGCCTAGGAGGTGCCCCTTCCACCGTACCCCACGCGATTTCCCAACCCCCCGGCGACTACAAACTACTCAAAAACGGCTACCGATTTTCGGCTTCAGCATATGTTGAAGCCGACTGGCCCCTAAAAACTTTCCAATTCTAACACAAAATTTATATTTTAGTAAAGTTAATCTATATTTTAACGTCCTTTTGGGCCCTCTAAAGATAACGCCCTGCAAAAAAGCGCTTTAATAGCCCGTTAAATCTGGCGTTAAACACAAGAGAGCGTTTAAGGGCGTTAAATACGGGGTTTTTTTAGAATACACCTCCCGAAATGGAGAAGAACGAGGACTACGCGAAGCTCGAGTACTGGGATCGGCGATTCGAGCAGGAGAAGTGCTACGAGTGGCTCTGCGACTTTGACGCCTTCTCCCAGCTCGTCCTGAAGGTGCTTTTTACGTTCTTTTCATCAGGATCGTTGTGGGAACGCCAACTTTTCAGGGAAGTCGTTTTTGCGCCTCTTTTGCGCCGAAAACGACCCAAAAACGATTTCCCTGGCATTAAAACCACTGTTACCCGCAGTTCCAGCGAGGAAAATTTCCTCTTTTTCAGCGCCTAAAGCAGCTGAAGCCCAACCCCCGCATTCTGCACGTTGGCTGCGGCAGCTCGCAGCTCTCGATGCGGCTCTACGACGCCGGATTTCACGATATAACGAATGTCGACTTTTCTGAGGTGTGTTTTCATGATTTCATGGTGTTTTTGAGGAAAATTTGCTATTTAAAGTGGGGAAGCTATCTAGAAATGATGATGTGTGAAACTTCGAATTTTGATCGAGAATCGGTGTTTTTGCTAGAAAAAACATTGTTTCATAGAAAAATTATAGTATTTTTACGGTTAGGAGTACAAAAATGCTGTGGAAAAGCGTACTATTAATTGGGGGAAAATTTTCTTGTGGATTTTCGGCAGGCTCGAGCAGGGTTATGTCGCGAACGTCGATTGAGTTGGATGGTGTTGGAAGTTAAATGCGAAAAGTAAACTTTGAACGCTCCACGTTGCCTTTTATACCTCTATCGAGTGTCTTCTTTTAGGCATCATTACTGTATACCGCCCGAAAACCCGATGATAAAACTACTATTAAAAATGTTACTAAAATATTCAGAAAAACCATCCAATAATTTTAAAAATAGTTGCATTCAATTCAGCATTAAAAACTGAACAAAATAGCCGAGAATGACGAAAATTGGCCGCAAAAAAATTTTGCCCCCCCCCAACTTCAATAGTACCGAAAAGCTTCTATTTGGACTAGACAAAAACTTGGAGCCCAGAAAACATTCCTAACGCCCCTTTTCCAGGTGCTCATCTCTTCATCGAAAGCTCGATACGGCGAGGGCTACCCGGAAATGAGATGGATTTGCGATGATATGACGAGCCTCTGCCGACTGCCCTCCAAAAGCTACGATGTTGTGCTGGAAAAGGCGACAATCGAGGCGCTACTCGTCGGGGAGAAGAGCCCCTGGTCACCCTCGGATTCGGCTCTGAAAATGGTTGATGACGTGTTCTCGTCGATCAATCGTGTCCTGACGTCTTCCGGTCTCTTCCTCTCCATCTCATTCACACAACCCCATTTCCGGGTGCCGGCCCTGTTGCGAAGGTCGGATTGGGGCGTCGAGGTGGAGGAGTTCGGCGATCAATTCCATTTCTACTGCTACGTCGTCAGGATGGATCGCGACACGGATGCGGCTGTACGCGAGAAATATGGACGATTGGCGGTGGATTGGCTGCGCGAGATTGGAAACGAATGATTTTCCAGATTTCTGTGTTTATTTCTCGATCCTTTGCTCTTTTTCGCCTTCCCTTTGTTTTTGTTGGCTCCAAAACTGTGATCTCAATTGTTTGCCCACCTTTTTTAAACTTTTTAAATCCTATTTTTTGAGTTTTATGCTAAAATTTGAAGTTTATAGCAAGTTCTCTATCTTTTTCTACTCATTCCCGTTGGTTTTTTGGTTCTAAAACTATTTGCAGTCATTCAAGTTGCTATAAAAAACCTTGGCAGCTCATTTTTCCCTTTTTCATGTCTCGTTTCTTCACCTGCACTTTTTAAAGTCGATAAACGAGGGTTTTTGCAGGGATTTTCAGCGTTTTTGGTGCATTTCCTCGAAAACTGTGGTTTTTCTTGTAATTCTTGTTGGTTTTCACGTTGCTCGCTGTTTTCCGTTTCCGTTTTTGCTGTTTTAGTTCTTTATAAAAGTTTAGCTCGCGTATTTTCAGGTAAACGCCGAGAAGCGCGGGCGCTCACCACCCACCCCACCTGGCTTGATGTCGTTCAAGCTCGGCGACCGCGTCATTACAGGTATTGCTTTGTTTTTGGTCTAAAAACCCGGATGTGCCCAGTAATGTAATTGCGAGTATTTTATTAGTGTTTTTGGTAAATTTAGCTATTTCTAACGTGGAAAATCAACGAAAACTTTGGAAAATTAGCGAAATTTAAAATTTTGTGAGGAAAAACCCGCCTTTTGTCGTTATAAAACGTTATATAAATTATAAATAAACCTGCTTAAAACTATTTAAATTCGCAAAATACTTTTTTTGCAGAAAACAACGGAAAGGGCGTGATCGCCTTCATCGGCACCACCCAGTTCGCCGAAGGTGAATGGAACGGGCTGATCCTCGACGAGCCGCGCGGCAAGAACAACGGCTCGGTGCAGGACGTGGCGTATTTCGAGTGCGAGCCCGGCTACGGCCTCTTCGTTCCTACCAAAAAGGTATTTTTTGGGAGACTGCAGCACCAAATTTTGCTAGGGATAAAATGGCTAGTAACTTGATAAGGTCTATTTTAATCGTGTTTTTAGCGTAATAAAGCTATTTTTCAACTACAAAAACTTTCAAAAAGTGGTAAAAACGGGCATTTTGGTCAGAAAATCGAAATTTTTGTAGTTTCGCGTTTAGGAATAGTAAGAAAAGTTTAGAAACACTTCCTCGCTTCATATTTGAAGAATTGGATCCTAATTTAAGGAAAAAGTTGGCTCTAATTCACTAATTAAGCTCGGAAAACGTCAGTATTTTCTCCTTTTAGCTGCGCCTCGAGAAGCCTGCCACCTCGACGACTCCGGCACGCCCGCAGACCCGCAGTCAAGCCTCGAAGCTCCGCGCCCCTACCTCCAAGCTCACTACACCCGCTGTAAGCTATTTATCTTCCTTACATCTTTTCCTAAACGTAAATTTAGATTTTTTTGACTAAAAAATGTCAAGAAAAGCAATTTTTCGAACGAAATTTCAAATTTTTTGAGCGTTTTTGACGTTTTTAGGTAGTTTCCCCCGCTTGAAATATAACTGTGTGCTACGCTTTTTTTCACCATTCCACAAGCGTAAAAACTACAAATTTTGTTTGAAAAAAATACAAATAATTAGATTTTCGGCTAAATTAGCTCAAAATTATTTCGGAGTTTTTTTAGTGTTTTCCGCCCAAAATACAGTTCAATTTTGCCAAAAACGCTTTAAAAGTAGTTACAATTATGTTACTAGGTATTTCTGGACTTACCGGAAAAAAGAATCGTGTTTCCTCCTCGATAATGCGAACTAACCAATTTGTTTTAGTCGACGCCCGGGATCAGCCCGGCCGAGTCAGTGGAACAGCTGAAGGTCTCCCCACCGCAACAACCCACCACTTCCGCTCCACCCCCCAAGAAGGAGGCACCATCAGGGCTGAAGCAACCTTCCTCCGTCACCCCGGCACCAATTGACATCAAGAAGCCGGCCGATGTGGTCGAAGCGGCGCCCGCGTCCCCGTCCGTCAAGGAGCGCGCCCAGAAGATTATGGAGGTATTGAGCTTGTGGCGTTATCAAGACTCGGTTCTTGGGGATTTTGACCATTTTTTTCCTGGCGGGACGAAATTCTGAGCAGCGTGTTTTCCGTGGCAATGAGCGCCACTGAATTTTTATTGAAAAACGTTACTTTTTTGCCGTGATTCCCTCCGAAAAACCTTCATTTTTGAAGGAGCCCGCGCCGACAACGCAGAATTGCCAAGTTGTCGTCGAGGAGCCGCCGCACGAGGTACACCCCCCTATAAAAAGCCCCCGCAAGCCGAAAGTGGACACATTTTGTGGCGTGCCCGTTGCGTGTTCTGTATTTCCGTTGGCCGGGCCTCGGGAATTCCTATCAGAATCTCGAATTTTGAGAATCTCGAAATCTGCCTATGCTGGATTCAGCGCGTAGGCGTGCAATTTCCAGTATCTGTAATGCTGATTTGGACGATCGAAATTTCGAGAATCTGAAAATTCGAGATTCTGGTAAGAATTCAGGCGCGGGAATCTGTCAAAATCTCGGCTGTAGCGCATGCAGCTCTGTCAGCTTGTCATCGCAATCGTTTGCAATTTTATTTACATCCTTTTTTCAGAAGCGCCCAAGCCTCCCCCCGCCACCCACCCTTCCCCCCGGCATCAGCGAGGGCACCGAGGTCGACATTCTGCGCTACGAGAACAAGGATCTCAAGGAGAAGATGGAGACGTTGAGGTCCGTTTCGCGTTGGATTCGACGTGGATTTTCACCGCAAGCAGGCCCAAAACCCCGGCAAAAACGTTAGGGGGACGCTGATTATGTTTGCGAGCGCGTTTCGGTTAATCCAACCGGCTTCCGGGGAGGAATTCGTGTATTTCGGGTTGAATCCAATCCGGTCCCGCATCGAATCTCGGTTTATCCAGCTCGTTTCCGGTCCGAAATCGGTCATTTCCAGCTGAATCGGGAAGTTTTTTAAACGAATTTTCCACTGAAAGCCGCCCAACATTCAGCAAAATCCCGATTTTACCGAAAATTGTTTGGAAATCGTGGCAACGAGAACGGAAACCGTTTTTCCGGTCGAATTCCGGTTTATCCGGCTTATCTCCGGTTAAATCCGATCGATGAAAGCAAATTTTCAAAAAAAGCGGCTCTGCATCGAATTCTAAATTCCGCGCGCAGTTCGACCGGAAACGGGCTGGTAAACCGGACAAGCGTCTTGTCCGACTTATTTCCAGCGGTTTAACTAACTCGTTTCTCGCCTAAATCCGGCAAATTTTCCGCGCGGTCACCACCTTTTTTTGCCAAAAACGGAGCCGTCAAACGATTCCCCCCTTTTCAGGATGCGCCGCCAGGATGACCGGGAAAAGCTGAAGGAGCTGGACAAGGTGAAGATGCAACTGCAAGTACAGCTCGACAGCCGCCAGCGAATGATGGAACAACTGCAACAAGCGCTCGCCAAACTTGCCGAAAAGGAGAGGGTACGCTTTTCCATTTTTATAAATATTTTTTTGCATTAAAAACCTTAGTTAAGCCGGTTTTCAAAAGTAAAAATTTATTTTAGAGCTCAAAAAAATTAAATTGAATTAAATTGCACCATCACAACCGTCAAAATGCTCTTTGTTTTGCAGGAAATCGACGAGCTGACGCAGTGGCGGGTGGCGAACCACGACCTGCTGGCCAACCACAGCGAAGACCTCGAGCTGGCCCACGTGGAGAAGCAGATCCTGGAGCAGAGGGTCGAGACGCTCGAGGCTGAGGTACGGCTTGAAGACGGGGGTTTCGTGATGAAAACAAAGCCTATCTGGTTTCGAATTTCACGCTGATTGTTTTTTTTGTGAAATCGCGAATTTTCAGCGGTTGACGAGCATTTTTGCCAAAACTGTGGGGGTTGAGCGGGGTTTTTTCGGTGCTTACGCATTATCGGGGGGCCAAATTTTGTTTCTAGAGGTCCATAAAGCCTAATAATGCAATAGTAAGTATTTTAATTGTTGTTTTTCAATAAAATTTAATATGATTCTAGATGGGAAAATAAATTCAAAACTTATGAAAAAAATTTAGTGTCGAAAAATCTACAGTTTTTGCGTTTGCGTTGCGTTTTAGCATATTTACGTTTAGGAATAGGGAAAAAACGGTTTGGAAACGCTTCTTCTACATATTTGGATTGGAAATATTGGAGCCGTCCAAAAAAATTAGCTCCCCCCCGATAATGCGAAAGAACCGAGCATTCGACAAAACTAATGTCGACATGCCCATATTCGAGAAAATAAAATCAGCGCAGCATAAGGCATGAAATTTGACGTTTAACGTTATGTAAATTTAGAATTTCAAACAAAAATTTATTTTAAACGCAAAAAATTGTGCGACTTTTCCCCTTTAATCCACCATTTTTTGCAGCTTGACGAAGTCCGTGGGCAGGCCGACCTGGCGCAGACGGAACTCGAGATCCTGAAGGAGGAGATGGCCGAGGGGACAACTGCCGACGGACAACAGCAGCAAGGCGGTATCGTCAACTCGGTGCAGGCGAGGGCCCTCCAGGAGCAGATCGAGAAGCTTACCGCCGCGTGTATCGCGTGAGTCGATTTGCGGTTTCGACGGTTCAAGGGTCCGGCAAAGGCGATGCATTTTTTGGCTTGGATTTTCGCTCGGTTTTGCCCGCCACGCGGCACGCAACGCGTGTATATCTCGTGTTCGCTTACGCAATGGAAAGACGGCCGCGTGCGTGCGGGATAGATTGCCGGAAAATCGCCATTTCCGGCCTGAATTTCCAGTCGGTTTTGCCGCGGGTGCTACACGCGACGCGCTGCTCTAACGTCGCAGGTCTTTTGTAATCGATCACGCGCTGCGTGGCGCGTCGCGTGCCGCGGCGTCGGACAAAACGCTGCCCAATCGGGATACGCGGCGCGCCGTTTGGACAGCCGTCACGATAGCATAATCGGATACGAACTGAAGCGCGGGCGGTCTTGCGCCACATGTCGCAACGCGAAACAAATCCGCGATACGCGACGCACCGCTTCGCGGGTAATCGATTGCGCAAGCAAGTTTTAAAAATCAAGCATACATCCGTAGCCTCGTCGGTCCCTTGAATCGGAAATTTTAGGGCAAGCTAGCGGAAGGTTTTTGAGGAAATTCATCTCCCTTTTTCAGGCTGCGCGACGTCAATGGCAACCTGAAGGGCGACAACCAGACGATGGGCAAACAGCTCGACGAGCTGCGCCAACAGTACGTTTCCGAGCTGCTAACTTTTTTTGTATAGGTCTAAAAAATGCCTAGTACTTAATAGTAGCAATTTTGAATGTTTTTACCTGACAGAAAACTTATTTCGACAACAAGAAACTACCTCGACACTCAAAAAAAATTTTAAAGGTGGAAAGATTGGTCAAAAATGGCCACTTTTCGGGGGAAATCCATATTTTCGTTTTTTTAGGAAAATTTGTAGAGTTTTTACGTCTAAGAATAATAAAAAAAACAGTTAAAAACAATTGCTCTATTTATATTTGCAGAATTGGATACTAAGCCCCCCGATAATGTAAAAGAACCCTTCTTCTAGAAACACGCAACTCCTCATGGCCGCCGAGATTGCGAAAAAGGGCCACGACGAGGCGGAGAAGCGGAATCTCGGACTCAAAGAACAACTCGACGCCCTCGTCGAATCACAGGACATGGTCGACGCGCTGACGATGAAGATCTGCGAACTGGAGGAGCAGAAGATGGTCATCGAAGATGAACTGGCCGACATGACAGCCATTCACGATATGGACGTGCAGATTCTCGAGACGCACGTCGCCAATGAGAAAGACTTTCTGAGGGATATCGCCGAGAGGGAGCATCGAATTCAAGAGGTACAGCCCTACTCATTGGTTTTATAGGTTAAACAGCAGTGATTTCGAACATTTTTGAGGTTTTTTGGTAAAAAATGTGTGAAAAATTACTCGACAAAAATCAAAATGTTCGATTCCAATTAAAAAAAGAATTTTTATAACCTTTTGGAAATTAAAAAACTGCTAAAAACAGTCGAAAAAATACGCTGTTTATGCTAGCAGAGATTCATTGAGGAAATGGGGGGCTACCTAGCAGGGATTACTTGGGAAATGGGGCGGGCGAGCAGAAGGGACGTTTTTACTATTCTTTTGGTTGCTAGAAAGCTATAAAAAAAAATGGAAATTCCGGCATTTTTATCCTTTTTTTCCTTTTTGATACATTTTCGGCCAAAAGCCAGAAAAAGCCCGAAATTTTTTATATTTTTTGAGTTTTTTTAAATCTAAGAACTTTAGCAAATACTATACAAAATTATTTCTATTTGGTTCCCTTAATAATCCAGACCCGAATTTTTTGGGCTATTTTTTGACGTTTCGGTCATTTTCTCACTTCCGGTGCGTCTAAAAGTCACCCCCTTCTTTTTTTTCAGCTCAACCAGAAGCTGTTCGAGGAGGGAACACACGCCGAGAACCTCTCCTCCACCATCCTCCGCTTCAAGAAACGCGTCGAGGAGCTGAACGAGCAGCTGCAGGAGATGAAGGACCAAGAGCTGCGCTACCAGGAGGCCCTCAACAACCGCGGCGAGGACAAGGCCGGCAAGCTGGCGGGCATCGTCAGCGAGCTGCAGACGAGCCAGGGGAAGAGCTTTGCCCAGGTGAGCAGCGCCGAACCTCGAAATCGGACCCTTCTTTTTTTGAGGGGTGCTTTTATAATGCCGAATTTTGGTGATCTGAAAATTCGGCGTTTGAAAATGGTCTAAAAAATTGTTGTCTGTAAAAAATTAAAAAAAAATTGCTATTTTACAAAATTGTTTTAAAAACGTTTAAAAATTCGGCGAATTTTCATAATGCCGAATTTTGGTGATCTGAAAATTCGGCGTTTTAAAATTGTCTAAAAAAAATTGTTGTCTGTAAAAATTAAAAAAATTGCTATTTTACAAAATTGTGTTAAAAGCGTTTAAAAATTCGGCATTATGGTGATGAATAAATCCTCGTTTTAGATGGTCGACTCCTCGGTGCGTGCCATCGAGCTCGAGTACGCCGGCAAGCAGATCAACTACCTGCGCGCGTTCCTGCCCGACAACTTCACCAAGGCCGGAGGTGAGACATTTTTTGGTTCTTTCGCCTTATCGGGGGGGCGGGAAGCCAACTTTTTGCTTGGGATTAAATTTTTAAAATATAAATAATGGAAATGTTTCTAAAGGTTTTTTTTGCTATTGATAATCGTAAAATTTTTTGTCATTAGAAGAAAAAATATCGTTTTTTCGCCCAAAAATTGTCGATTTTTGACCAAAACCTCGACTAGAAAATTTTTCTACATTTTTTGGCGGCTTTAAAAGCTGTATATTTTTCCGCTGCCGCGACACGCAACGCGCACCCCAGCGGTTTTGGATGGCATAATGGATTCGCGTTGCGTGTCGCGTCGCGCCGAACAATCCATAGCAACGCCTTGCCAACTCCTTGAAAAAGACTAAAAAAATCTTCGGTAGGCTAGCAAAGCTCGAGGAATTCTCTTTCAAACACCCAGAATAGACTGGCCCTGTTGAACTCGTCGCTTTTTCAGGGGACGGCGACTCGGTGCTGCTGTCTACAGTATTCCCGCGTGTCTGGGCCAAAGCCCAACTCCTGGCCCGACTTGTGGATGAGAGATTCCCGGGTGTGCCGGGAGGGATGCGTCTCGAACATGTCACCAAGTCGCACAAGGCCGAGCAGTGGGCACAGGCGGCCAGGATTCGCAGCCTCACCGCCGGCATCGCCACCCTTGCCGCCCAGTTCGAAAGGTGAGCGGATCCCTATTTTTTTGACGGTTTTTCGGGTTTAATCTCTGTCGCACAGTAGCTGCAAAGATGCTGTATTTCCACTTAAAATACAAATTTCCTTGTTGTTTTTCACAAAATTAGAATAAGGTAGTTTAGCAATTTAAAAATGATCTTACGTATCAAAACTTTGTTAGAAATTAAAAATTTGATTTGTTGAATTTTCGCAAGTTTTTCTGATTTTTTTACGTATTTTTGATGTTTGAAAAAGCATAAAATTCATAGAGTACTTTCTTTGAATTTTTGAAAAATTATGAATTTTTTTGATGGAAAAAATTATCAATTTTGTATCTTTCTCGTAATTTTGCATACAGTTTTAGAAAATTTTATGCATGGAAATAGTTAAAAACCATTTAAAAACGCATCCGCTATTTATAAAAAAATTTATGCTTGGACCGAAAAAAATTTGGTTGACAAAAACCGATATTTCGAGGATTTGGAATTTCGATGAGTCATAATTTCGATGGGATAAAAATATGCCAGTTTTCGGGTCGATTTGGGCGCTTTTCAATCGTTTTCCCTTTGCAGCGCGCTGCAGCTGTGCTCGATGGATGTGCTGGCAAAGATCTCGGAGAAGCAGCCGGACGTCAGCAACCAGGAGAAGACCCTCGACAACTATATCGATCTCCTCAAGCAGGGCAGGCTGGACGAGAACTCTTCCCTCGACGGCCTCAAGAAGATTGCCACCTGCTTTACGGTACTTTTTTTAAGGGGAATTTGATGGCGTAATCGCTTAACAACTCTGGATTTTTTGGCGCGCGAGAATTCGTCGATTTTTTTGCTAGCTGCCCCTTTAAAATGAGCTGCCGCTCAAAAGCCGAAGCTTTTTTTTGGTAGAAATTTTAGTTAAAAAAATTCTACTAAAAAAATTAAGAAAAAGGTAAAATTAGCAAAAATATTGCAAAAACCATTAAATAAATTCAGAATAACCCTGGTCGTTTTTTAGCGTTTTATTTGCGGATTTTGGATGGCGTAATCGGTGAAAAACGCTGCATTTTCGGCACGCTAGAATGAGTCGTTCTTATTTTTGGCTTGCGAGTCCCTTTAAAATGACCTGGAGCTCAAAAACCGAGGGTTTTTTCGGGGGCCCTGGGCTCTATTTATCGTTTTTTACCGGGCTTTCATGGCGTAATCGGTTAAAATGACGCGATTTTTGGCGTCAGACCGATTTATCAGATTCCAATTATTCATTTTTTTTGCATCAGCCCCTTTAAAGGGGCCCAGAAATGCCAAAAATTGAGTGACGGCCTGAAAATCGGAGCCCGGTACGTGGGAGGCCTCTGCACACATAGGGTCGCGGGAAGCTCGCAAATTTGAAATGGCCTGTTGTCACCTCGAAATCAATTTCTCGGCTGTTTCTGGGCCAAATTTGATGATTAAAACACCAAAACTATTTAAAATTGAGTGAGGATTTCAAAAATGGGCTCAGAATGCGCGAATTATCGTGTTTTCACAAAGAAACCGGGCAAAAACAACGTCGCGCAAAAATCGAAAGAGTGAGGGCTCTCGTCCCGCAGCGCCCGCTGGCAATTTGCCAGAAATCAAAGAAGCCCCCCAAAAGGGCTTTGATTTGGCACTTCGGAGCCCCTTTAAGATCAACTAAAACTCGAGGTCGGCATTTTTTTTTTCAAGGGGGGTTTTGTTTGCTTCCTAACCTCTTGAAAACCGCCCCGATTTTCAGAACATCTTCACGGTGCACATGGCCAGCCAGCCGTACGACACGACGCGATGGACGCAGAACACCCTGCAACAGGTACAGCCGGGTTTTTTTTGCCGAAAATTTCGACATTCATAATGCCGAAATTTCGATCTGGCGGCATTTTTGCATTGGCTTTACCGGGGGCTTTTTTTCATTTTAGGGCTTCGGCATACTGAAATTTCGGTGTCATTTCGACAATTTGGCCAAAAATTTTCATGTTTGATGCAAATTACATAAAATATAAAAATGACAAAAATAAAATAATTTTGATTTAGTCATATGAAATTGCGATATTATGATATTTTAGTTTTTATTTTCGACATTTTTATACCTATGAATTTTTGCAATTCTTTAGCTGTCGACGACGATCGGCTGGTGGCGGGTGAACGCGCAGCGGGTGTGCTTCTTCGTGAACGGAGGAGACGGAGAGGGAACCGAGGTCGTCGACATGACAACCACATTCCAAACAACCATCGACGAGTGCGCGAAGCTGATCGCTGCCGCGTTGCGTGTCGTACCCGCCGAGAAACGCCTTCAACTCACACCACAGGTCGGCCAGTTTTTTACTGGAAATGGGTTCTTTTGCATTAACGGGGGGGAGGATTTTTTCTGTAATAATTTCGGAAATAATCATTTCGAAATTCTGAATTTGGCTTTATGTTTTTCCGCGAAAATTGGCTTTATGTAAATTTCGCCATTTTGAAAGAAACCCAGCTCTTTTGCATTATCGGGGGGGTGGTGGCTTTTTCTACGGATTGAATTTTCCCTTTATAAATAGCGGGAAGTTTTTTAGACGGTTTCGGTATTCTAAGCGTAAAAACTTTACGAATTTGTATTAGAAAATACAATAAATGTCGATTTTCGACCAAAAATTGGCCGCTATTCTACCAAAATTGCGATCAAAAAAAATTTCTAGGTTTTTTATTTTTTTCCATTTTATTCAAAGATACTTGATATAATCGACTTTTTCAAAAGTTTTTAGCTAGCTTTTCGAGTTGAAATATAATTTTATTTTACTAAAAACTCTATTAAAATACGTAGCATTACATTACTAGGGATTTCGGGGATTATTGGAAAAATTCGCCCCCCCCCCCCCCGATAATGCCAAAGAACCGGCAAATGGCCCCGTCTTTCCTCAAAGAATCTCTGCTTGCTGCCCCTGTATCGATAATTCATTTTCAGTTCACGGATGATCTCTCGGCTGTGCAGCACTATTTCGATCTTCTGGCCCTTGTCTATCATGAAGCGGCTTCGGTGGCTTCTGCCCAATCTGGTGTCGACGACTCTGAGGGCATCGATGCTGACCGTATCCGTGAGATCTTCCACGCCGCCGTCACCAAGATCCACGGCTCCATCCAAATCGACAACACTTTCCACCCGCTACAGTAAGCCTCTTACCGTATTTTAAAAAAAAACGAGGCAGTTTTTTAGGGGGTTTTATCGATTTTTGGAATATAGCTTTTAGGATTTAAAACCATTAAAAATACGCGATTTTTTTTAAAATTTTATATTTGTCGTTTTTTCAAAATTACAATTTTCCTAGGTTTTTCTAGTGGACATTTTGCGATTCTAGATACTTTTATTGAAGAAATAGGAGAAATTTTTAAGTCTCTAAAAATAGATGCTAATTTATTTCGTAATTTAAAAATGAAAACCTAGAAAAAATGCCAAAAAGTTAAAAAAATTAAATTTCTACCTTTTTCAAAATATGCCTATTATTTTGGTAATATTGCTTTTTATCTTTTTTAGACAATGGCTGTCGACTCTGCGCGAGACGTTGACCACAATCAGGGATACTCTGGATTCGGGCCGCCTCGAGGCAGATCCCCTGCCGAAACAACCGTATCCCCCCGTACTCGAGAGGGCAATGCTGAGGAAACAGGCGGCTGCCGATGCTGAGGGACTGAAATGGCAAATCGAAAAGAAGGAGGCCACCATCAACGAGCTGAAGAAGATGCTCAAGGAGAGACAGGATGACATCTCCAATTACAAGGTCAGAACCGCTTTCTTTCAAAAATGTCCAGATTCACAATGTCCAAATTTACATAGGCTAATTTTCTCGAAAAACCCCGAATCCTATACAAAAAAATGTCGACATTCGGGATTTCGACATTTTCAAAATCGAGGACCCCCCGGGGTTGTAGTTTGTAGCTTTTCCCTTTTCCAGGCGTAATGCGCCCTTCATGGATTTTTATTGCGTAATCGGTTTTCGGGCAGCGTCTTCGATTTTTTAGCAAGGAAATGACGATTTTCATGGCGTTTTACGCTGAAAAAAGCGATTTTGATGGCGTAATCGGCGTCAGAAAAATTAAAGTGTTTGCTCAAAGACGCTCGATTTGAATGGCGTAACCGATTTGGTATCATAATGTCGAAATTTCACAATGTCGAAATTTCATAATGTCGAAATTTACATAGGCTAATATTACCGGTGAAACCGCCAAATCCTAGCCAAAAAAATTTTTCCACATTCTATTTGTTTATCTTATTTCACGACAACATTTTTTTTGCCTAGAATTCGGGGACTTCACCGGGAATTTTAGATTATGTAAATTTCAACTTTATGAATTTCGACATTGTGAAATTTTGACATTTTGAAAATAAGCCGGCGTAACCGAATTTTTTCGTATTTCAGTTGCGACTGGAGATGGCGGAGAAGCGGGTGGAGAGCTCGGGAAAAGTGGAAGGGGTGAAGGCGCAGCACTGGGAGCAGAAGTACGAACAGCTGCACGCCGACGCCAAGAAGCGCGAGACGTTCGTTTTTGTGCCTTTTTTAGGGGTGACAATTTTTGTGTAATGACATTTTTTTGTTTTATGCGGTCTTTTTAGGGAGCTCGACCACCAGATCCGCGAGCTCAACCAAGAAGTCGAGGCGCTGCACCGCGAGAACGGAGATCTCAAGGAGAGGACAAAGGCCATGAGCAGGAATGCACTACTTCATGTACGTTTTCTCTCTTTGTCTCTCGCTCTCTCTCTCTCTGTCTATCTCTCTCTCTTTCTCTCTCTCTAACTCTCTCTCTCTCTAGCTCGCTCTCTCCCTTTCTCTCTCTCTCTCTTTCTCTCTCTCTCTCTCTCTCTCTCTCTCTCTCTCTCTCTCTCTCTCTCTCTCTCTCTCTCTCTCTCTCTCTCTCATTCTCACTCTCTCTCTCTCTCGCTCTCTCTTATCTCACTCTCTCTCTTATCTCACTCTCTCTCTCTCTATCTCTCTCTCTTTCTCTTATTCTCACTCTCTCTCTCTCCCTGTCTCTCTCTCCCTCTCGCTCTCACTCTCTCTCCGTCTCTCTCTCTCTCTCTTTCCCCCCCCTCTCTCTCTCTCTCTCTCGCTCTCTCTCTCCTCATCTAACCCTCTTTTTTCAGGGCATGAAAACGGCCAGCAACTTCGAGATGTCCTCCGTAGCGTCTGCAAGCCGTTCAAGCGCGGATCGTGGCCCAATCTCGGGCTCAACCCCGGCCTCCTCAATCGAGTTCCACTACATGCAACAACAGGTCGTCGATCTCCAGAAGCGTCTCCACTACGCCACCGCTGATCTCAGGAGGCTTGAGGTGAGGGAAAGCAGGTTTTTGCCGGCTTTTCCGGATAGGTTTCATCAAGTTTCGTTGCATAATCGTTTCGGTGAAGCGGTGCGGGGCGCGTTGCGTGTCGCGGGAGATGCGCAGGAAAAGCTACGCGTTCTCTTCCCTTGATAACGCGCTCCGCGGTACTTTCGCATTATCGGGGGGGGGGGGGATTTTTCTCTACGGATCCAATTTTTCAAATATAGACGAAGAGTTTCTACGCTGTTTTCCACCATTCCGAAACCGAAAAATTTTACAAATTTTGATTCATAAAAATACAAACAATGTAGATTTTCCCCCATAAACGGCCAATTTTTGACTAGAAATATGTTTTCTATGTTTTTGGGTATTTTGTAGTTGTAATAAAATCCCCCCCCCCGATAATGCAAAAGAACCTGGGCATACTTTTTGGCTAATTTTTTTCTATAAATAATTGTTTTTCGCAGGCTCAAAAAATAATTTTGGAGCTAGAATAAAAATTAATTAGACATTCGTTTTTCTTTTAACGTATTTTTCGACAAATTGAAATTTCGTAATTGAATTAATTTCGTTAATTAATTATTTTACACTAAATTAATTTAAATTTAGAATTTCGTAATTTAATGCAAATAGTTTTCGTAATAAATTGAAGATAATTTCAATGGCTTCGAAAAATAATTATGTAAAAAATTACTTATCGTTATTTTTTTGCAGGCCGAAAAGGCGTCGCTCTCGTGTGGCGCATCACTTCGTGTCCCGATGGCCGTGGCCGGTCGGTGTTCCCTCGAACACTATGCACATACCGATGGACTGGAGAAACAGCTGAAGGCCATCTTTGATGAGGCGATGGAACTGAAAAAGGACGAGATCCCGCTCGAATTCTTCAAATGCGAATGGACGACACGGGATGGACAACAGCAACAGAACAAGGAACAATGGAGGACACAGAGGAGGACCTTCATGGCACGCGCCAATGCCGTATGTTTTCAATGGTTCTGTGGCACTATCGGGGGGGGCCCAAACAGCCCCCCCCCCCCCCAAAAAAAAAAAAAATTTTTTAAACTTTTAATTAGAACTTTTAAATTTCAAAAATTAGATTTGAATTGGCATGCGCCAATGCCGTACGTTTTTCGAATTTGGGGTTTTAGTTCTTTGGCACTATCAGGGGGGGGGGCATTTTTAAACTCAAAAAATAAAAAATGTTTTTTTTTTGTAAAAATTACATTTTTTTAATTTTAAAAAATTTGATTTAATCTTGCATGCGCCAATGCCGCCGTGCGTTTTTTTTAAATTTGGGATTTTGGTTCTTTGGCATTATCGGCGGGAGGGTGGGGGGAAGGGGCATTTTTTAAGCGTAGAAAATAAATAAATAAATAATTTTTTTCTAAAGTGAAAGTCCGATTTTGGGGTTTTTGCATTATCGGGGGGGGGGGGCGAATTTTCCCCAGAAATGCCTAGTAACGTGATTGTAAGGGTTTTAATAGTGTTTTTAGTAAAATTTCACTGTATAAAAAAAAAAAAAAAAAAAAAAAAAAATTTTTTTTTTTTTTTTTTTTAAAAAAATTGCCCTTTTTTGGCCGAGATTTTTTTTAAAAAAAAACATTTTTTTTTTTTGGCCCCCCTTTCGCGTTTCTTTATTTTTTTTTTTTTAATATATTTTTGTTTTTTTTGCAGCTGCGCAACCGTTTCATCCAACTGGCCAAGCAGCTCGAGTACCGCGACGTGGAGATTGATGCAATCGTCGCCGGCTTCCCCATCCTCACCCCCGAGCCCAACGTACGTTTTCCCGTATCTTTACTGTTACCGTAGTCGTAGCCCTCCAAAGTTCCAAAAAATCAGGAAATTTTATGCGAAAACCGTTTTAAGCCGCTTCCAATTTTTTTATTGAAATTTGATTTTTTTAGTTAATCACAAAATTTGCTGTTTTCAAAATTTGAGCTGAATTTAATTGATCGAAAATTAAGTACAGACACCACCCTTTTTTAAAATAAATTTGAAAACTTGATTCCAGAAAACCAATAAAATTTCTCGAAAATGGGGAACTTTTAGTTTTTTAAATTGAATTTTTTCGGCGTTTTTTGTATGTTTAAATGTGACAATTTTAATTCAAAAATTCACAATAATGTTTAAAAGTTTTTTTACATTTATTTTAGGGCATTTTGGTAATTTTTAGGCGTTTTTAAATCGCGATTTTAAATTTAAGCTTAGACTTTAAATCATACAAGTCAATTTTTTGTTGAATTTTCGCATTTTCAGGCGAGCCCGGCGCGTTTCGCGGAGATTTGCAAGAAGTGGGGCATCCCGACGGCCGCCTGATCGATTACGACATGAAAATCGCGACGCCGCGCGGGAATACCGTATCCCCCCTCTTTTCGCTTTGTATAGATTCGATTTTTCGTGCTGTGTATTTTTTTTTCTCGCTCTCGCAAGTCGTGTGTGGCCTTAATTTATTCAGCCCGAAGCGTGTAATTACGTATAATAGGTACTCTCTATTTTTCCTCGTATCATCTCTCCCCCTTGATCAGCATCAATATTGTCTGCGTCTCTGTCACTCTCTATCTCTCGCTCTCCCTGTCTCTCTTCCGTTATCTCTCTCTCTCTCACCGTGCATTATTTCTGTTTTTCCGTTTTCCGGTTTTTGACGTGCATTGTGTGAAATATACTGTACCAAATTTGACGGATTTCACGATTTTTACACCGTTTTTTACAGACACCACGCGTTCCTCAAAAAATCTCTGCCAGCCGGCCCATTCCGCAAATGGCCTCTGCTAGCTGACCCGTCTGGAATTTGCTCCCCGTAATTTTTCGCGAAGGCACTGCTGCCACAAATGGTCTCTGCTGGCCGATCCCGAGGCAATTCCTCCACGGTTTCTGCTAGCCTGCCCGCCGTAATCAATCTTCTGCTAGCCTACCCACTTTCCCCAAATGGTCTCCGCTTGTTTGCCCACCCCGGCGTCAGTCCTGAAATTTCCTTAATGGGTTCTGCTAGCCTGGCCAGTCCTAAATGGTCTCTGCTAGCTGGCTCGTCTATTATTTGCTCGCGCGATTTTGCGGAAAATCCCCGACGAACTATCTTTCTTTTTATGGCATTTAATCTATTTCTTGGATTTTTTAATATTTGACAATTTTTAAGGCTTTCCGCGAGTCTACCACTTTCCCCAAATGGTCTCCGCTTGTTGGCCCGCCCTTTCGTCAGTCCAGAAATTTCCTCAACAATTTATGCTAGCCTGCCCGCCGTATTGAATTTTGACTTGGTTGCTCGGTCTTAAAGAATCGCTGCTAGCCGCCGCGCTTAAATTTGTGGGCCCGATTTCCTGAATGGGTTCTGCTAGCCTGCTCCTAATTTTTAGGCAAATTACCATAGTTTTTAAGGAAATCCAGCGCTTTTAAACGTTAAAACAATTTATTTGAGATCGACCTTTCAGAAAACTCGAAAAACGGGGATTCACTTTTTTGTTTGGAACACAAAAATGAGTGATATGTGAAAACTATGATACCGTATAAAAAGGGAAATTGCGGACTGAAATTGTGGAGAAAAGCAGGGTTTTTAAGAGGGTTTCCACGACGTCCGATTCCGATTGATGGCTATCGTGCAGTTCTTCCATTTCATCTCGTAATCACGCTTTCGAGCCGAGGGGAATCGCACGTCGACTAGCTTGCGAATGTACGCACGTTTCGCGTCTTCTTGGTCCTGGAAATCGGGTGCGATTAGCTGGGTTGTCTCATTCTCTCTCTCTCTCTCTCTCTCTCTCTCTCTCTCTCTCTCTCTCTCTCTCTCTCCCTCTCTCTCTCTCGCCTTCGCTCCCTCTCCCACTCTCGCTCCCTCTCTCTCTCTCTCTCTCTCTCTCTCTCTCTCTCTCTCTCGCTCATTCACTCTCTCTCTCTCTCTTTCTCTCTCTCACCTTCGCTCTGTCTCTCCGTCTCTTTCCCTCTCTCTCTTTCTCTCTCTTTCTCTCTGTATCTCTCTCTGTCTCTCCGTCTCTCTCTCTCTCTCTACTCTCATTCTCGCTCTCTCTCTCTCTCTCTCTCTCTCTCTCTCTCTCTCTCCCCCTCTATCGCTCTCTCACTCCCTCTCGCTCGCCAAAATGATCCAAAACCCAAAATTCCCGCGTGGCCAAATGGTTAACGCCTCGCCTGCCGCCCGCAAGCCCCGGGTTCGACCCCTGGACGTCGCAAAACTTTTTGCTTTTGGAATTTGGAAGCTCGCCTTTTTCGCAGATTTTTATCGCGTAATCGATTCAGCGGTAAATTCGTGGATCGTAATCGATACCTTAAAATACGAGTCCAAATTGTCCTTGAACAGCAGCTGGGCCACCGATTTCGCGTAGAACGGCGCGTTGCCCTGGGCTTTCTGCAAAATTTGCTGGAATTTGTTGAATTTTTAAACGTCGTTTTTTCAGATTTATAATTTAAAAATTAAAAATGAAAATTTCAAAAATTTGGAAATGTTTAGTAACGTAATAGTAATTATTTTAATAGTGCTTTTGGTAAAATAGGACTATAAAATTCAACCAGAAAAACGATCCAAAAAAAGTTTTAAAAACTTTGAAAAAGTCGAAATTTCGGTTAAAAATCTTTTTCTGGTCGAAAAATCGGAATTATTGTATTTTTCAACCAAAATTTGTAAAGTTTTTACGTTTCGGAATGGTAAAAAAAAGGAAAATTCTATGCTTTAAAAACCCCCCCCCCCCCCGGTAATGCCAAAGAACCCCAAAATCTTTTTTTTTCACTAGAAATTGAAAATGCCCCCCCGGTAATGCCAAAGAACCCCAAAATCCTTTTTTTTTGCACTAGACATGCTTACGGCAAAGAATTCCTCCTCCTGCTCGTCGGTGACCCCGTAGGGGAAGGTGATCGACGGGTCGACGGACGTGATCGCTAAAAAGGGGGAATTTCACGTCGTAATTGGATCCCAAATGGTCCCTGCTAGTTCGCCTGCCCGGTCAATCTTCTATTCTGGCTCCCCACAGCGATTTATGTCGAAATTGGATGCGAAAAATGTTTCTGCTGGCTTGCCTGGCTTTGTTCATCTCCTAACTGCCTGCCAGGCTACCTTTTCATGGCGAAATTAGTGCCCAAATGCCCTCTGCTAGCCTGCCCACCATGAGAAACCCTGACCAGGCTACGGTTTAGCAAATTTTGTTGTAATTGGATCGAAAATGATCTCTGCTCGCTTGCCAGCACCCTCCAACTTAGCTATTTGGTGTCGTAATTGGTTCCCAAAGGCCCCCTGCTAGCCTGCGGTGCCTCTCGAATTGCTAATCTGGCTGTCAAGCCACCCTTTCATGTGCTAATCGATTCCCCAAAGGGTCTCTGCTGGCTTGCCTGGCCTTGTTCATCTCCTAACTGCCTGCCAGGCTACCTTTTCATGGCGTAATCAGTTCCCAAGTGCCCTCTGCCATCCCTTTCCCCAACTTACAATTCCTCTTTTTTGGCCATTTTAGCGGGCGGTCCTCCTTGATGATGATGATGAGCATCAACTGCTGTGGAAGAAGAAGAAGATGTGGCTGACCCGGCCGCTGTTGATGTGGCGGCTGTGGATGAGGTTCTCTTTGGCTGTGGTCGATGATTGGTAGATGAAGAAGCGGAATTGACGGTAGATGAGGATGTCCTTGTTGAAGATGATGGGCCATTTGAGGGGGGATGGGCGGAAGAAGTGGAGGAGGTGGTTGTCGTTGACGGGTCCTGAAAAGATTCGACGGTAGAGAGGTCATTTGCATGGCGTAATCGGTTCGCCAGGCCCATTTTCATAGTGTAATCGGCTAAAAATCACGATTTTCATGTCGTAATCGAATAAACCGGCCCGATTTATGTGGCGTAATGCAATAGTCTGGCCATATTTTCATGGCGTAATCGGATGGGCCGTCGTTTTGATGGCCTAACCGATTAGCTAGTCGTTTTTTTTGATAGCATAATCGAATAAAAACCACTATTTTTATGTCGTAATCGAACAAACCGGCCAGGTTTTCGTGTCGTAATGGAATACCTGCGTTTTCCTCGTTGGATGTGATCGTCCTCCTGCTCCATCTTGTTGAGCAGCAGCTGCCGCCCGTGTCACCCCTCCTCCGACAGTTGTTGTTGCCGAACTGCTCCCCGTCGTCGTCGTCGTGGTGTTCTGTGCCTGGTCCCTCTGCTCTCTCTGCTCTCTCGCCTGTCCCTGTGCTCTCTCTGTCTGTCTCTTCCTATCCGTCTCTCTCTCTTGACTCGACGTCGTTGCCTGAAAAAATGGTTTTCCTAAATAATCTCTGCTGGCTCGCCTCCCCCTATTAAGTTGCGTAATCGATTACGGCTTCAAATTCTCAACCAACGACCATTAATTTGATGGCGTAATCGATTTGCTGGCTGTCATGGTCCCGTTAAAATGGCGAAAAGCTAGGGTAGAGGTGTCTATAGGAGTGTAACGTACCCTCTCCTCATCAGCTGCGGCTCCAGCTGTTGCTCCTCTTCTCTCTTTCTCCTCTCTCTTCTTTCCGGTCGTTTTCTCTGCTCGCTCCGCTTTCTCATCGTCTTTTTTCACCTGGTGCTTTTTGAAGGCTAAAAATGAGACTATTTATGGGACGGGTACAGGCTACAGTATGCCTTTGTTACAGTAAGACAACAACTTTACAAAAAACACGTACGAGCCAATTGCGAGGCGGAAAGTGTTCGATTTTTGTTGATCGCCGACGAGCAGAGCTTCCATTTCTGAAAAATAGGTTGTGGTAATTTCATTGCGTAATCGGATAACCCGGAGAAGATTTTAATGGCGTAAGCGAATAAGCCGCCAGGATTTTTTAATGGCGTAATCGATTAGCCGACGCGAATTTCAGCGCGTAATCGGATAGCCGAGATGTTTTCACGGGGTACTCGAATGAGACGCGTCGATTTTTATAGCGTAATCGAATAGGCAAGGGTATTTTCATCACGTAGAATCTTCCAGGCCGGTTTTCGACGCGTAATCGGATAACCCGGAGAAGATTTTAATGGCGTAAGCGAATAAGCGGCGGCGATTTTTTCTAGCGTAATCGATTAGCCGACGCGAATTTCAGCGCGTAATCGGATGGCTTAGCTATTTTCACGGCGTAATCGAATAAGAAGCGTCTATTTTGATCGCGTAGTCAAATACCCACGGGTATTTTGATGGCGTAATCGAAAACCCGTAGAATATTTACATGGCGTAATCGAAAAAAACGGAATCCGTTAGCGGAGGTTATTTTCATCGTCTAATCGATGAAACCCAGTGTTTTTGTGACGTTATCTATCCAAAAACCACTATTGTGACGTAATCGAATGATTCAAGGCCGTAATCGGTTGGCCTTAAAAACTCGGACGAACCTGAATCTGCTTGATCTTATCGGAAGTGGGGAATCGTCGATCCAGAATATCGTGAAGCCACGTCCGCTTTCGTGGATCTTGGTCCTAAAAATAATGTATTGATGCTACTTCGCGAAATTTCCGCGGTGGCGCATTGGCTGACGTCTCTGCCCGCCACCCACATGGCCAGGGTTCGACCCCCGGCCGGAGGCTAACTTCTTGCTTTTTAAAGTCTTGGCGGATTTTTATAGGAAGGGCTAAACTGACAGGCAGACTACAGGCTACAAACTATAGAATGGCATCCAGGCTACAAAGTACTAACAAACTGGCCCGGGTTCGACCCCCGGCCGCGGCAAACTTTTTGCTTTTTGAATTTTTGGCGTATTTCGATCGGAATCGCTAAACCGGCAGCCAGACTACAGGCTACAAACGACAGAATCTCATCTACACTGCAAACTGCCAGAAAAATGACCCGGGTTCGACGCCCGGGCACGACCAACTTTTTGCTTTTTGGATTTTTCTGGGGAAAATCTCTGAAATCCCGGGAATAAGCGATACCTTGAAGGAGACATTAATAGACTCATGAAAGAGCCCTCTGCCCATCATTTCGGCGTATACGGTAGGGTTGCCGCGGGCTGCCCGCAGACATTCCTCCTCGAACTCCTTGGTCACGTACGGGTAGGCGAGCACTGGAAATGGGGGGAATTCCGCAAAGGATCTCTGCTAGCTGGCATCCAAATTAGGTTTTTTGCGCCATCGGCAAAAAATCTATGTTAAATTGCCCGGAAATCAAGGGCTTTTCATTTTTTTGGCACAAAAAATCACCGAAATCCGGTTTTTTCGAGCAAATTCTCGCTGCTAGCCTGCGCAAGCTTGATTTTGCGACAATTTCCGCCAGGATCTCTGCTAGCTGGCCTCCAGATTAGTTTTTAGGCCATTTCCGCAAGGAATCCATGTTGGATTGCCCCGGAATGAACAGATTTTCTTTTTTCGCGCAAATAATCCCAGCTAGCGTGCCCCTCTCAATTTTTTGGCAATTTCCACAAAAGATCTCTGCTAGCTGGCGTGCAGTCAAGCTTTCAACAGCCTTCCCTCGCTAATCTGAAGTCATAAAATGGCTCACCGACACCATTGACGACGTGCTTCAGCCGATTCCGATTCGCCGCCGCGCCGCAAACCTGCAAAATCCGAGATTTAAGGGGAACTGGCAGTCATTCGGAGCATTCCTCAAGATTCTCTGCTAGCCTGCCGGTCAGTATTCGCTTTTAGAGGCGCTTTGAAGGGAGAGCCTGCGGCCTTTTCTATGGATTTTCCGGAACGTTTTCGGCTTGCCGCCTTTTAAAGGCCCCTTGAAGGCAGAAAGGGGGCGTGGCTTCGCTGACAGACCTTCCATCTCGAATCCCGCTTCAATTTCTCCTCAATCGGAAATCGATAATCCACCATATCACGCAGCCATTCCTTACGGGCGCCGTCCTGAAAATCAAAAAAAGGTTAATGGCAGAGATTCTTTGCGGAAATGGGCAAACGAGCAGGGAATCGTTGGGAATGGCTAGAATGGCAGTCAGATAAACGGAAAATCCCAACAAATATCGGCGAACGAGCAGGGATTCTTTGGGGAGGTGATAAAAAAGGGGGAAATCTTGAAATTCGGCTTATCTGGAAACCAATTAGCCAAGTAATTGGCTAAAACTGCGGCAAATGAGCAGGCAATCTTTAGGAATGGCTAGACTGACAGCCAGCTAAGCGGAAAATGCAATAAAGTGGGGCCAACGAGCAGGGAAACTTTGGGAAATTGTAAACTGTCGGCCACTGAACCCGAAAATTCCGGACAAACCCCTAAAAATTACCTGTTCGGAGAACAATTTGTCGAGACTGTCGTGGAACAGATGAAAAGCCAGTCGCTCGACATATTTGATCGGATCTTCGGGGCTTTTCTCAAAGATTGACTGCTCCAACACCTCGCCCACGTACGGGAAATCCGGCTTCACGTGCGCTGCAAGATCGTCGCGTTAAAAATGATATAAGCGCAAAAACGGAATCTTTTTCAGTTATTTTGCTCATCTTAACCGATTACGCCCCAAAAATAGCGCGGTGCTTATCCGATTACGTGCTGAAATTGCTGACCATGAAACCGTCAACGTCATCAAGTCAAGGGATGTCTTTGCTTAGCCGATTACGCTATTGAAATGACGAATCAGGGACGCGAGGAAAACGGCCCAGACCATTCGATTACGCCGTGAAAATGGCCCATGTTTATCCGATTACGCGACAAAATTAGGATTTATAAACTGATTACGCCACCTAAATAGCAGTAGGATAACTGATTACGGCACTAAAAGCGCTGAGGTTGATCCGATTACGCCATTAAAAAAGTTCTCTGCAATGGATTACGCCATGAAAAGCCAGGCCATCCGGTTACGCTGGGAAAATCGTGTCCGCTTATTGGATTACGGCATGAAATGCGGGTCTGGTTATTCGATTACGTTATAAAAATCGTATAGGCTTATCTGGTTACACGCTAAAAATCAGCTCTGCGTAACCGATTATGCCATAGAAACGATATCGCGCAGAAAATTCGATTACCCGATGAAAATAGCGTAGGTTTAATCGATTACGGCAGGAAATTTACTTGGGACCATTCGATTACGCTAGTAAAAGCGCGCTTGGTTGATTCAGTTACGCCATAAAAATTTTTCGCAGATATCCCATTGGTTACAAAAATCGATGATTTGATTACGCCATTGAAAGGCGGGTATTCGATTAGGTTATGAAAATCGAAAAACCCACAAATTTCTTCCTTTCCCGTCCACGATTTGTAGTTTTGAGCCTTCCGGGGCAGAAGATCCGAATAAGTGGGGATTACGGTAGGGAGACTGCGACGGGAACCACCATCCACAGCACCATCCTGCAATTCAGGGCATCGATTTTTAACAGCAAGGGGTCTCTGCTAACCCGCCATGGTCTCGTTAATCGTTCAACTGGGTTGTAAAACTACATTTTCATGTCGTAATCGACTCCGAAACGGTCACTGCTAGCCTACCACTCGTCTCAATCTTTTATCTAACTAGTACTTAACATTTTCATGTCGTCACCGATTCCGCAAATGGTAAATGCTAGCCTGCCAGGGACAACGGTCTAACTGGCTGTCAACCTACATTTTCCTGTCGTAATCGTTTCCCAAATGGTACCTGCTGGCCTACTTTGCCTTTTATATCCCTTATCTGGCGGCACGGCGACACTTTGATGTCGTAATCGATTCTCTAATGGTCTCTGCTAGCCTATCTATCGTCTCATTCCTCACAGCGTTCAGAGCCATACGAAAAAGGTTCGTCGAGCGGGGACAGGATGGAGAGGGGGTCTCGGCACTCTCGCCCTCCCTCTGGCTGTCTGCCCCCACCCCCGCGCGTTTGAATCATAAATGGTGTGTACGAAAGATTAGCCCGGCTGTCTGCTATCGCGCGCCCCACCCCTCCCCTGCCTGTCTGCCCTCGTGTCTGCGCTCTAGAGCGCTCTGCATCCTGTCCCCAGGGGGCCCCCTTTTCTGAACCATGTGTCCTTTATCTGACCCACACAGAAGACTTTCGTGTCGTAACCGATTCCCCAAATGCCCTCTGCTAGCCTGCCACCTCTCCATCTTTAATCTGCCCTCCATCCCACCCATTCGATACCTTAATCCTTATTTTATTGATGGCCCACGAGCAGCTCTTCCATTTATACATTTGTGCCATCTTATCCTCGGAGGGATATCGATAATCCACCAGATCGTGCAGCCACTGTCTCTTTTGGGGGTCTTGGTCCTGAAAAAAAATCGATTACGCGATGGAATTCGTACGTAAAAATCCGGTTACGACCGGAAATTCGGTCGGCCAATAAAAGTTACGCGATGAAATTGTGAAGAAAAAAATCCGTCGGTTAATTGTTGGCCAGGAAATTCGGCGGGCCGAAACCGATTTCGCCATGGAAATGAGGTCATAAAAAGTTCGGTTACGCCAAGGAATTGCGCCAAATCCATGGGATGAATCCTTTCCAGGCCCTTTAAATTTTGCCAGTGAGCCCCGAAACCGATTACGCCACTTAATCGGTCAGGTCAAACTGATTACGCCATGAAATTCGATAAAAATTACCAAAATTCGTGCGATTTTTTTCGAATATAAATTGGGCTAAATCTATAAGCAATCGACGCCTTCCCTGGCCCTTTAAATGCGCAGAGAATCGCTTACGCCACGGAAATAAATAGGTGCCGAAAACCGACTTTTTCTAGCCGCATTTTTCACAAATTTTTTTAGCGACGCGTTTTTGGAGATTTTCAGAATCGATTACGACATGAAAATGCCAAGAGCTATACCTTAAAATAGAGATGTAGCGAGTCGTGGAAGAGGAGCTGTGAGATACGCTGGGCAAATGAGGCTGGCTGGCCATTCGATTGAGCAAGACAACGCTCTTCTTCTCCTCTGCCAATCAAGGCGGGGAACGGGTAGCCGGGATGGGCTGAAATGGCAATCGGTTACGGCATGAAAATAGGGTTATCGCTCTCTGGCGTTGATTTATATGAAAAATTACGAAATTGACGAAACACCGATGCTAGTGCCAGATGGCCAATTGGTAAACGTCTCGCCTACCACCCGCGAGGCCTGGGTTCGACCCCCGGCCGCGGCAAATTTTTGCTTTTTGGAATTTGGGCCTAGATATCGATGGGAATGGCTAAAATGTTGTCCAGACTACAAACTAGAAATCACTACCAGCCCTTGCTCACCTCCTTTCGCCGGTCTCTTATAATCCCTCGTGCTCCCCTCGCCTCCATTCTCATCCAGCGGCTCGCCCTCCGAATCGTAGCGCTGCTTCTTGTATCTGAAATTACGTGGCGTGATCGGTTGAGAAGCTGCTCAAAGAATCTCTGCTAGATTGCCCGGAATTTCCAAAGGAATCTCTGTTAGATTGCCCTAATTTCCTAAGGAATCTCTGCCAGCCTACCTCTCTCTATTCTCAGGCAATGTGCAAGATCTCTTTCCACTCGATTCCGTCGTTCCAAAATTCATCTGTGAGAATCGTGGTATCTCTCGATCATCTCCCTTTTTCTGTCTCTTTCTCTCTTCCTCGTCTCTCTCATCTCGGCGCGCGAATCGGAACAGTTTCTTCTCGCCGATTCGCCGCGAAACGAGGGGTTCGCGGGCTGAAAAGGGCTGCAATTTTTAGGCAGAGTCTCCAGAAATTCTCCTTAAATTTCGACGCTAGCTTTCCGGCCATATTGCCCAAAAATGGTTAAAAGTTTGCTGTCACACTCCCTTTAAAGGGGCCGGCAAGGCATGGCCACTATAGGT